GTCCAAGTCCGAGCCCCTTTTTCCCGTGTTAGGTCGGGTCAACTCGACAACTAGCCGGGTCGGGTCCGGGTTCGGATTTCCAATCATTTTCCTACCCGGGTCGGGTTAGAGTCGTCCCGTTTGAACCGAGGTCAGTTCCGAGTTCGACCCGAACCCAACCCGTGATCCGAAATTGACACCCCTAGTATGGATAAAAAAAAAACTAAGGTGAGGAATGAGACTATGCCGGAATGAGCCCACATCATTTGTTCTCCAAGGTTATTCACAGAGGTCATGATGAACTTCTTCTTCTTCTTTATTTAGGTTTTAATCTTTTTCTTCATGATGTCTTTCAACTTCATCTCTAGCTTATCCCTACGAGGCTTGTTACTTATTAAAATGATTGTCACTTGTCAGTGTAAGAAAAAAAATAATATGAACAAAGAAGGTATCTCTATTGTAGATTGTTGCACCAGAATGAACATTGTTGTGCAATCAAAAGAAGAAAATGGGTTATGTTTGGAATTGCTTGACCTCTTTGATCCATAACGCGTTCTTGTTAAGTTTTAACAAATGCTACCTCTTCTCCTTTTCAGAATACCTGAAGAACAGAGGAACGCAAGCCTTCATCTGCTGTGACAAAGCCGAGGACGCCAATGCCATCGTTTTGGCCTTCCGCGGGACTGAGCCCTTCAACGCTTACGACTGGATTACGGACGTCGATCTTTCCTGGCTTTCCATGGGAAAATTTGGCAAAGCCCATCTTGGTTTCATGAGAGCACTTGGGCTCCAAGACGAGAAAGACGTTGAGAAAGGATTCCCCCGTGAGCACGCGGGGCATGAAGAAGGCAAATTGCTGGCTTATTACGCCATTCGGGAGGAACTGAATCAATTGCTGGAAAAGCACAAACGAGCCAAGATCATCATAACCGGTCACAGCCTCGGTGGAGCGCTAGCGATTCTGTTTCCAGCACTACTAGCCATGCACGAGCGGCACGACATCATAGACAGAATCCATGGCGTGATGACTTATGGCCAGCCGAGGGTTGGAGATGCGGTGTTTGGACGGAACGTGCAAGCCGTTTTGAAGTCCAAGTATCATAGGATGGTTTATAGGTACGATATAGTCCCTCGAGTTCCATTTGACAAGCCCCCCGTTGCTTTGTTCAAGCACTTCGGCACCTGCATTTACTTCACAAGTTGGTATGAAGGCAAGGTGCGTATGCTAGCTTTACTTCCACCTTTTAGGCTAGAGCATCTCCAATGGAACGTCATTTTCTATCCTTCCAACCGATCATTATTTTTGTCACTATTTGATCGCGGGTTAATAGTGCGACGCCAATTGGGATCGCACTGTT